AGCAAGAACAGAAGATTTCAAGACATATGGAGTGCTACTGAGAGTGTATTTAAAGAGTAACCATAATTTAAAAAAACAAAAAATATTCTTTAATCCAGACCATTTGATTTTTTTTGTGGTCCTTTTATGGGCTTTAGAAACAGTTCTGTACATAGGCACCCTCTAAAAGTGGGGAGACATTAATTAAATGAATAAATTCATTAAATAAAAATATTCTCTACACAAACCAACTTTATGTGATACACTGTAACATAGCACATTATATTCAGGAAACATTTAAATAATCTATAATACAGTTAAATAAATAATGTACAAAAATATACACAGAAGCCAAAGTAGTTAAAGAAAATATTGCCAACCCTTCATACGTGCAGTGCTGAGAATGGATCTTTTTCAAGAGGCAGTATTGGGAGATTAAAAAAAACCAAAACAGCAAAACTTGCCATGCTCGGAAAATACTCGCACGTATGCGTATATGAAAGGTTGAACATTTTCAGGCACACAAAATAAAAGCAATCTACAAATGTAGAATGAGCACATGATACATCCTCCCATGTATATATATATTATATATATTTATAAATATTTATATATGATATAATTTACTATTAGGGCATGCAATTATAGGGACAGAAGTTACTGTACAATATAATACAAAGTAAAGGGTTGAGGGTATAGGGCTGCAGCTTGTTCAGGACAGGGTAACCATATAAAAAGACACACACATTTTCAGCTATATTAATATCCCTTATACCCACAGTGTTTAATATGATTGCAATGTTCCTCCAGCACAGCAGAGGTTAAAAGCTTAGGGCTACACATGGACAAGAAAAGTTGCCAAAAAAAAAAAATCCCTTATGTATCCTAAGGTTGCTATTTTCTAGCAGCAAAAAGCCACAAGGATTTTTGCAATGCAAGGAGTAAATACATCCTTTTTTTTTTTTAATGGCAGAGCCACATGCAATTCACTGCATATCAATACATATATACAATGCCTTGCTTGCTCTGTGGAAAGATATACACAAAAACATACATTCAAAGCATCTGCCCCATAATAGTTCACCCCTTTTCAAATTCCCCAAGCAAATCTGTGCTCTGGAGCTACAGTTTCACAGTTCTATATTCTAGCTTGAAGTATTCATTGGCAAGTGAAGCTGGTCATACAACAGCTGAATTTAATCTGAACGTTCATACAGAAATTCCAAAAAAAAACGTTCATCAGAGCATTCCATCCTACCACAGACACTATTGTTTAATAGCGTCTAAAAATTTTGTCCATACCATGAATTTGAATTGAACTCCATACTTAATGTGCACATTATGGTGTACGATTTTTATATACATGCTGTGTTAGAATTTTCAAACTAAATTCTAGCGGCATACGACCAGCCTGAGTATGGTATACCATCAATTGCTACATTTCCACAAACTGGGTTGTGATGAGTCTATGGTCTCACTTAGCACTGATGGCTCTCTCAACTAGCAACGTTACCAGTCACTTTGCGCATGACAAATGCACGGACATGAGAAATATATTCAAGAGTGTTATACTGAAAAGTGCCAAAAAATACCTGAATGTAGTAGTTTCCTAATATTTTCCTTGCACTGAAGTCTACATTAAGAGTCAAAGACAAGTTGAAAATCACTAATGCCCCAGGAAATGACAAAATGTATCAAACCAATTAGAAAAAAAAAAAACTAAAATGTTCACATTTGCATTAAAATAACCTCTCTGGATGCCGCAGCGATGGTATAAAACAAATGGATTCCTTATTTGGATAATGGAGCCTTCACGTATTAAACGATCTACTCTCCAGCTTTTGAAAGACACTGGTGAACTAGCCAGATCTCACCCTAAAATGTACTTCCTGGCTGCTGAGCTTCAGCACTTTCTGAATTGGGGCGAGGAGGACTTGGAGGATCCTATTCAGGCAATTTTTCTCTCCCACAATTCTGAATACCCATTGCTTTCCCAACTCGAGGCTGATACTTTTGCTGTATATCAGCAATACTCCACACTGCTGCTTTTTCATCAACTTTGACTGCAGAAACTGATGAAGTGGGATGGTTATAATGGTCACACTCCTCTACAGAATAATTCCTCCCAGAAATGAATACACTGCAAGTCTTCAGGCTGTGGCAAGAGAGGGGCACAAGATATTAGTCCCAAGTGTAAGAGGGCGTCATAATGAAAATCATTGAACCTCACCTTGACACCTGAGAAAAATTAAAGAACCATGAAAGACAAGATGCTGCATATTTTCAGGTCATGCTGGCATGATCCAACATCTCTTCAGCCAAGTGATACAGCTTTGATACTAAGTTTTTCTTTATCTTCTAACCCACACATACTTTTTTAATCTCATATGGAACATGTTCTTGTAACTAAATGGCTGTAATATGACCTAGTCTTGTTTATAACAGGTAATCCTAATATTATTGATTGGTGATGTGTAGCCTCAATGAGCAATAGGGAAGCTTGTGAGGTGGAAGAGGCGAAGCATGGTCCACTTCCACAAAAAAAAAAAAAAAAAAGTTGATATTTAAAGGTAACGGCCTTTCAATCTGGTTCTACCAGTATGTTTGCACCGAAGAAAACCCTTGTGCATTTTTGCACATTATCTTCAGCTTGAATTGTCCAGGTTATGACCAGTTTACATCAAGGAAAAATCTTGAGAAAACTTGCTATGAGTGCTTTTATGGTGATTATATATATAAATTCTCTATTTCCAGCAGAGCAAACTAATTTTCTAATATTTATGTGTAGACAAGGACTAGTACACAATGGTCATCCTTTGGTCAGCCCCTCTTTACTTACCAGGTTTGTGGAATTAACATTTTTGCAAACAGTACTATCAGGTCATGAGAGATGATCCTTTTTTGTTCGGCAGTCAATAAGGTGTGTGTGTGGGGGGGGGGAACTGATGGCAGTAATGCGTATTCACATCACAAAAAATAATTTTTTAAAATTATCTTGCAGAGACCCACAAATCAAGAGGAATACATATTGTTTAAAAGTTTCCCTGTGGGATTAATAAAGTATTCTGTGAATCAATGATAAATGTTGAAATCCTGAATATTACAAATTCAAACTGCTTAAAGCTCAACCCCAGGGACATTTTAAAAAATACAGCAAACAGCAAAGGGTAAAAAGCTATTTTTTTGTTTAGGGGAGCATTAAAAAAAAAAGTTTGACTAACTTGTTCCGCACTCTCCCTCTTATCTATGACACTATGGGGGTTGATTTACTTAAAAGTGGAGAGTGCAAAATCTTGCTGAAGGTACAGCTGTCCATGGTAGCCAATCAGCTTCAAACTCCCGCTTGTTCAATTAAGCTTTCACAAAAAAACAAACAAAAAAAAAACTGGAAGCTGATTGGGTTCTATGCACAGCTGCACTAGATTTTTGCGCTTTCCAGGTTTAGTAAATCAACCCCTATGGTTGTGAGTAGGCCCTAGATGGCTTCGCTTACCATGCAGGCCTGCTGGTTATGCATTGTAAGTTATGACCTCAGAGTGCAACTGCTTGACAGAACACTGAAGAGCTGCTTCGGGGTAGCGATCGCAGGGAGAGGGGGACAAGGTAAGTCATTTTTTTTTGCTTCCCTAGACCAAAAAAAAAAAAAAAAAACCCAAAGGGAATTAACCCTTGCAGTGCTGGAGCCCCACAGAATGAGTTGTTAATTTTCCCCAGAGTTTAGCTTTAAGAAAAAAAACCTACCTTAGGAGTGATATGGGGCCACAGTTGTTGATCTGCCTGACTGCAGATCAGCAAAGACAGAAGTCCTAACAAACATACTTGTTCAAGGTCAGTAAGGAACTGAAGAAAAAACTGCCTATCTTCTGAAGGAAAAGTCATCAACTGCAACCTCCACACTTTCTTAGATCAGGTTTCCAGCTTCAGATTTTAGTTCCATTAAGATGGCCAAATAACCGTGTCATACTGGGTAACCATGGCATCTACCTGCAATATGTCTTGTGGAAAGGGGTGGAAACTGTCGCAGAGGAATTCAGCAGAGATATAAATCCATAAGTTCATTGTTTTCAAGTGGGATCACATGACTAAAATTGTTTTGGAATAAGCCAAGTTTCAAATTAGGTAGGGTTCATTTGTGCAAGGTTCATATCTAGCTACAGAAAATAACCTACATATTTGCCTTTTTGGCTAATTTAATAATGCGCAGTACATTAACCACTATAGGCTGTAACCAATGCAATAATTGTTTTCATTTTCTATAGTGAATCCATTTTAAAACCATTTCACTTGAGCTATGGGTGTATAAATGCATTCTGTAGCACTTTCGGAAATAAGGTCCAACAACTTGCTGGGACATTCAAAAGCTGCTTTTCTGGTGTACTCAAGGAGTGGTCAGTAAAGCAGAGACCACAAAAATACTGGTTGACTATTGGTCTATAAACCTATAGTCAACCATCACTATAGAAAATGTGTTCTTTATATAGCTTCTACATTGGAAAAGAAAAATGAACATGCAAAGCTATTTAATCTATGGACAAAGCTAAATAATCTGTGGCAATCCAATTATTGGTAAACTGTCTCTGAAGCCAAGACATATGTGAACAACTGCTTGAGAGTTACAGCTTGAAAGTACCACATTTAAACAAATCAAGCACTTTGTTGGTTGTGCGTTAGTGATTATTGGTTGTATTATTCAGTGTGATGTTATCTGCCAGCATTTGGAATGTTAGAATTCATTTACAGTTTATGAATGATCCACAAAACTTTTCCTACTCTGAACAGGCAGTGCAGCTGCTCTAGCACTGAGTCACAACAGCCCCATCCACCTTCCCATTGGCAAAGACCCAAACTGATGGTCTTCAGTCTCTTATCACCTCCCATGACAAAAACATGATTCAGAACATTCAAGTCAATCCTCTTAACATAAAGACCAACACTGATTTGGATTTTTTAAAATATACAATGACATACACAACATGCATTACAAGAGGATAAATTACTGCTGCAGATGAGGCCAAGCCTGGTTATCTGCTCAGTTTATTGGAAACTTTGCTCTCCCGTACAGAGGGCTTTCCTCGGCTGGTTTTGCTGCCTGTTGAATGATGGCCACTACCTGATCCCTTGGATAAGTTCTTACTTTGTTTACTACAGCAATGGTCCTGTTGACAGGACCTTCTTGAAGAAGAAGAGCCAGATAGGCTGGGCGGTGATTTGCTACGGCCTACATAAGAATTTGAGCTTTTGGGCTCGTAGTGGTGGGGTCGCCCAATTCTTGAAGAGGAAGAACTGTTGGTTCTTGGTAAAGATGAACTGCGCGGGGAACCACTTGGGCTGCGTCGAGGAATAACTGGGCTCTTGGGAGGCGTTTTCGGACTGTGAGGTGAACCTGGACTTTTAGACTGGGAGGAACTACGGGGCTTCTGGGATCCATTTTGAATTATATGAGCAAGACGGGAGAGCAGGTCTGAATCAGAATTTCCACTTCCCAAAACCTTGTACCGGCGAATCCTGCAAGACAAAGATGAACCAAAAATGATGGGCGCTTCTTTATACATAGAAAATGACTACCAATATATGCAGTTTATGTTGCTCGATTATAAAAACAAGACAGATGACCAATACTTTTAATTTCTTCAGTGCATTTACAAGATAGATGTCCACAGAATGGTTTTGTCCCTTACAGTGAACCTGTGTTTGCCTAAGCAGAACCAAGGAACAATGTCCACATTAAAAGAGGACCTCACCAACAGCTTGTACTTACCTTCACCTCCCTCCCCAGCACTCTTTTCAACTGCTGGGAGTGAAGAGAGATAGCACTGTGTAAGTGTCAAGGCATAACTTGGATCATACATGGGGTGGAGGATATTCTTCCTGCTACCATGTGCCAACACTGGTGGTTTGAACCGTTAAACGAAACTACTAGCACATGTTAAACACAAGGAAAGGAGATTTTTTTTTTTGTTAAAGTGTGTAACATTTCTAAAACAGAAAGTAAGCATTTTAAAGATACAGCTCATGGTATCATGTTCATTTTAAACAGCTGTGATGCTCAAAAAAACAGAAGCATACAGTGAATGACCTGGTCAGCTTTCTGCTTTAATAGTATCCAGGTTAACTCTCAAAAAGAAGAACCACAAGCACTGCAAACCCTTGTTACTCTAAAAGCCAGCACTTACAGTCCCCCCCCCCCCCCTTCACTCAGAGGTGCATGAAAAGCTGAAGGTGGTACCTGGCCAAATCACTTGCTGCAAACGTACATCAATTTGGTACTCCACCAGCAGGTCCAATATCGATCCTGTCTCCAATATTACCTACACTGAGGGGTTCCTATTACTTTTATTTATACTACATACAGTAAAAAACAAATACAAAAAAGTGGAGCCCCCTCAAAATGTCCAATGGAGCTGTGACGAACAGAGAACTCAAGAGCACAAGAAACAGTTGTGTGGTTTAACACAGCCAGCATCTAAAACATAGGCTTTAGACAGATTAGCATTTTAAATGTAATGATTATGAAATTGGCCATTTTGTAGATTTTAACATTCAACACCATCCTAGTTAACTGAAAAACAATCGTGTTTCACACTGTTCTTACCGTGCCTCCACTCCAGGCCGCGTGGGTGGTTTTCCAGGAGGTGGTCTGGGAAGGAATGGAGTTGGAGGAGCACTGCTAATCTGATCATTACTAGTCCAGGACACAGGACGAGGAATTTTGCTCTTTCTTGACTGAATATTGAGAGTTGCAACACTGCCATCATCTGACTGCCTGACATTAGAGTCTGAGACTGCTCTAGGAATAAAGAAAACTTCTTTTTCAGGTAAACCCAGAGCTGGTGGTGAGGTTTTTTTTCTTCCAGTGACTTGTCAGAGGCACTTGAGAAGTCACCAAGTAATGACTTCTGTCGTTTTTTCCATTAAAATTCGGACAAGGTCGGTCCGATGAGCTTTTTTTCAGCAGAAGCTTTTCCTTAGCAGAGATTGGAGAAGATGATTCTGAAGCAGAGTCTACCTCCTGAGCCAATACAGGAATTCGGCTATGTCTGGTGGAAAGGGAGGATTTTGTGTGATCTCTTCTAAATTGTGGAGAACTGTCACTTAGGTCAAGCTGCTCTCCATTTTTTAGACTTGTTTGATCTGTATCCCTCTCTTGTTCAAGTAACATGGACAAGCTCGTCTTGTGGTCAAGGAAGCCATTAGCAGCAACATTGTTCTCTTCTTCATGAAAACCATTTTGCTGAACCTCCAGAGAGTCCCCTCCTACCGTAAAGTCAACCATTTGCAGTTCTGAAACTACTTCAGGTTTCACAGCTTGAGAATCTGTATGTCCATTTGGCACTGAGTGGAAAGTCCTAGTCTCATTAAGTTGATTAACATCAGACACTGCACCCTCAGAGGATTTGAACTGCTCAGGGGAATGCCCATGTGGATGGAAGCCTTTGTTTTGCTCCCGCTTACCTTCAAGAAAACCAAGTAGAGAATTGGACGGAGACTTTACTGGAGTCTCTAAACCTTTCTTCTCACTTATTTGGTCATTCTTATTAACTAAGTCTTTATGGCCTGAGTCTAGAGATTTGACACATGCTTTTTCCTGGTTTGTTTTGTCTAAATCTAGTGCCAGGTTTATTTTGTTTGCCAGAGTAGTAGCAGGGTCTTCTGATGCACCATATCCTAGTGGATTTTCCTGTGGTGACAACATCTCCAAGACATGGGTGTCTCTGTCTCGCTTCTCTAAATGAGGTCCACATGGGAAGCTTTCTGAAGCTGACTGTGTAGATGTAACCGAAGGCCGAGGAATGGTCATCTATGGGAAGAGAATTAAAATAAGGATGCATAAAACAAGTTTTGGTAGCAATAAATGAAAATATACTGTTATGCTGTTTTAGTCTTCCACTCTCTGAAAGGTTAACTTATTAACAATTTAAATGTCAACATCAATTTCCATAGTATTGCTGGCAACAAAAATTGCAGTCTCACAAAATCTTACTGTTTCTGGTCACTGGTATAACAGTATGTTATAAATGTGCAAATGGATAAATGCATAAGGGAACACTGCAAGGTTCCCACTTGGTTTCTCTCACCATACTTAACCTTTATAGTGTTTAAGCCCAGATCTAGGATATTATAGACCCTGGTATCATTTGGATTATTGTTACATAGTTACATCGTTAGTCTGGGTGAACAAAAAGAAAAAAAAAAGTCCACCCAGTTCAACAAAAAAAAAAACAAAAAAAAGTTATCCTAAAATCACAATTAGTCCAGAGGAAGTCAAAAAACCAAGCAAAGCATGAGCCAATTTGCTCCTGCAGGGGAAAAAAATCCTTCTTGTTCCCCCGAGAGGCAATCAGGTATCCCCTGGATCAACTTTACCTAGAAATGTTAGTATCCATTTATATTCTGTGTATCTAGGAAAGAATCCAGGTCTTTTTTAAAGCAATCCACTGAGCTGGCAAGAATGAAATCTTGAGGGAGTCTATTCCACATTTTTTCTTTTTAAATCTCTTTCCTCCAGACAGAGTGGCCCCCTGTCCTCTGTGAAGACCTCAGGGTGAAAAACTCTACACTGAGTTCACTATATAAACCAATGATGTATTTATACAAGTTGATCATATCGCCCCTTAATCTTCTTTTCTCAAGAGAGAAAAAATTATATTCCTCTAATCTTTCCTCATATCCTAGTTGAGCTCCTCTATGCCTCTTATAAGGTTGGTTGCCCTTCTCTGCACTTTCTCCAGTTCCCCAATGTTCTTTTTGTGAATTGGTGCCCAAAACTGAACTGCATATTCCAGATGAGGTCTTACTAATGCTTTGTACCGGGGTAATATGATATCTCTCTCTCTGGAGTCTATACCTCTTTTAATACAAGAGAGGATTTCGCTTGCTTTAGCATTGGCATTGCATGCTATTAATAAGCTTGTGATCTACCAGAACTCCCAGATCCTTCTCCACCATTGATCCCCCCCCAGTTGTACCCCCCTAGTATGTATGATGCATGCATACTCTTAGCCCCCAAGTGCATAACTTTACATTTATCAACATTAAACCTCATTTGCCACTTAGTTGCCCGATTAAACAGTGCATTGAGGTCGGCTTGTAAGTTGGAGACATCCTGTAAGGACGTTATTCCACTGCACAGCTTGGTGTCATCTGCAAAGACTGAAATGGAATTTTTAATTCCAGAACCTATATCGTTTATAAATATATTAAAAAGGAAGAGTCCCAACACTAAACCTTGGGGTACACCACTACAACATTAGACCATTCAGAGTATGAATCATTAACCACTACTCTCTGAATACGATCTTTTTTCTATCCATTTACAAAGAGATTTTTCCAAGCCTGTAGACTTAGCCTTACACATTAGCCGTGTGTGGGGAACTGTGTCAAACGCTTTAGCAAAATCCAAGTAGACCACATCCACCGCCACCCCTTTGTCCAAGGTTTTGCTCATCCCCTCATAAAAAGAAATCAGATTTGTTTGACAACTTCTGTCTTTCATGAATCCATGCTGTCTGATGCCTAAAATATTTTTTCCAGCAAGAACTCATCTATGTGGTCTTTTATCAAACTCTCCAGTATCTTCCCAACTATAGCTGTTAAACTAACAGGTCTATAATTACTTGGTAAAGATTTTGATTCCTTTTTAAATATTGGCACCACATTGGCCTTACGCCAATCCAGTGGTACTATGCCAGTCATTAAAGAGTCCCAAAAAATGAGAAACAATGGCTTTGAAATAACAGAGCTCAATTCTTTAAGGACCCATGGGTGTATGCCATCCGGTCCAGGTGCTTTATTCACCTTTATTCTGTCTAAATATTTCTGGATCATATCAGTTGTGAGCCAATGTGGATCATCTGGGGCGGTGTCAATACTATGCCCATTATGGACAAGAGTTCCCCCATGCTCCTTTGTATACACAGAGCTGAAGAAGGTATTTAATAAATTTACCTTCTCTTTGTCCCCAGTCACCCACTCTAGATTATTTTGTAAAGGGCCTACATGCTCGGACTGGACCTTTTTACTATTAATATATTTGAAGAATTTTTTGGGGTTTGTTCTGCTATCTTTTGCAATCTGTCGTTCGTTTTCAATTTTTGTGGCCTTGATTTCCTTTTTACATATTCTGTTATATTCTTTGTAATGTTTAAACGATGATAGTGTTCCTTCATTTTTATATTTAATAAAAGGTCTTTTCTTATTACTTGTAGCTTTTTCAACTTTGGCTGTAAGCCACATAGGTTTGATTTTTAGGCTTTTGAACTTGTTGCCCATGGGAATATATTTTACATTGTAAGCAAATAAATTGCAGAATCTCTACATTTTATTTAATAAATCTTTTTATATTACAGTGTTAGGGGCTCAGTCACACTATGTACAGTTACCTGTATTTTTCCTCATGGATAAATGCAGCTAACTTCAATAACAGAGAAAACAACTGTTCACAGCAGAACACAGCGTTTCTCAGTGCGTTCCAGAGAAATGCAAAAATATGCAAAATGTTTGCATGTTACCATCACATTGCTCTGGCTGGCCCTGCATGTCACTGCACAGCTGTGCAGTGACATAAATGAATTGTCCCATGCTGTATTCCTGTACATCCCTGTGCCGCTAAACATGACCCTGCAGGGAGCACAAATCAAACTGCCTATGTGAACAAGGCCTTAAACATTGCTAAAAGACATCTAAACGGGGTGGATAAAATATGTGCTCAGGCATTATAAACAACAAATTTCAATATCCTGATAGAAACCTACAGCTCGTGCCCCCCACCCCAAAAGATGCTATAAAAGGATTTAACTAAACTAATTTAATTTTGCTACTTCCCTCTGAACAATCTACAGATAAGTACAACAATTTTGCTTTACTTCGTAAAGCAGACTTCCATGCAACCATTAAAGCAGAACTCCATGCAAAACATTTTTCCCAGTTTTGAACAGAATGGGGAAAAGTTAGAGCTTCTGTCAGGAGCTCATGGGGAGCAGACAGGTTTACCTTTTCAGAAGAAAACAAGGTTCCATCTGCTAAAAGGAGAGGTCATGTGACCAAATGCCTAGGTCTTTACACATGTAGCAAACGGCAAAATGTCAAGAGAAAGCTTCATTTTCCCATCAACACAAGCCTAACGCCTATCAACACAGGCTCATATGGAGACAATGTCATCATACAAATACAGGTGTACCTCGGTTTACAAATTTAATGCATTCTCTGGGACATTTCATATTGCAAAAAATTGGTAAACCGAAACGAGGTTTCCCACAGGAATGCATTGAAAACCAATTAATCCATTCCGGAGGTCAGAAAAAAGTACCAAAAAAAAAAAAAAAAAAAAAAAAAAGTCTTACCTGTTCAAAACTCTTTCTAAAGTGCACTTTAACCACTTGAGCTCCAGAGGATTTACCCCCCTTAATGACCAGGCCTCTTTTTGCTACTTGGCGCTGCACTAATTCAACTGATAATTGCGCGGTCATGCAATGCTGCACCTAAACAAAATTTACGTCTTTTTTTTCACACAAATAGAGCTTTCTTTTGGTGTAATTTGATCATCTGTGCGCTTTTTATTTTTCACGCTATAAACAAAAAAAGGCCAAAAATTTTGAAGAAAAACAATATTTTTTACTTTCAGCTATAAAAAATATATAGTAAACTCAAAGTTAGTTATAAATTTAGGCCAAAATGTATTCTGCTCCATGTTTTTGGTAAAAAAAAAAAAATCCCAATAAGTGTATATTGATTGCTTTGTGTGGAAGTTCTAGCGTCTACAAACTATGGTATAAATACTGCAATTTACGCCATTTTTCTGCTATACAGCGCTGCGCTAGTTTAACGGACAATTGCACGGTCATGCAATATGGTACATAAATGAAATTTACATCCTTTTTTTCCGCACAAATTGAGCTTTCTTTCGGTGGTATTTGATCGCCTGTGCGGTTTTTATTTTTTGCGCTATGAAAAAAAAAAAGGCTGACAATTTTTGAGGAAAAAAAAACAATATTTTGGACTTTTTGCTATAAAACATGTCCAGTAAAAAAAAAATGCAAAAATCAAGTTTAGTCATAAATTTCTGCCAAAATGCATTCTGCGACATGTCTTTGCTAAAAAAAAAAAAACCCAATACGTGTAAATTAATTGGTTTACGTGAAAGTTATAGCGTTTACAAATGGCGGGAAAGATACTGGGATTTTTAGGGTTTTTTTTATGCTAATAATGGTGGCGATCAGCGAATTATGGCGGCGATCAGGGACTTATGGCAGCGATCAGCGACTTATGGCGGGACTGCGGCGGACATTCTGACATTGGGGGGTACTGACTTGGGGTCACTGACATCCCCAAAAACACTAATACAGTGATCAGTGCAAAAAAAAAAAAAACAAAACACTGACACTGTACTAATGGCAATGGGGAGGAAGGGGTTAACTTTATTTTGCAGGGAAGGGTTATAGGAGTGAGAGGAGTGTTTTACTAGGGGGCGGGGGTGTGTACTGGACGGGACAAGGCTGATCGAGAAAGAGAAACTGTTCTTTCTCGATCAGTTCGTCCTCGAGCTGACAGGGAAGTGACAGACAGCACAGCTACTGCAGCTGTGCTGTGTTGTCACTGTTTGCTGCAGATCGCTGGGAAACAGCCGCTAAGGACCGTCTGTGACCTGGCGACTCACATCTGCGGCGGTGATCCGCGGGACAGATAGGGCGGCGGCGGCACGCCTCGCGTGCACCCCCTATTTTTTACAAAACACACGTTTTAAAACATGGTTTTGCCTGCGAGTGCCGCCCTGCCGCCGTATATATACAGTGGCTGGGCGGCAAGTGGTTAAAGGCATAAATACTGTATAGGGACATGATTAAAAAAAAATGTATAAATGCATTTAAAACCAATTAATCCATTCCAGAGGTCAGAAAAAAGTCAAAAGAAGTCTCATCTGTTCAAAACGCTTTATAAAGTGCACTTTAAAGGCACAGGGCCAGCGCTAAAAACCTCCTAGGTGCAATGCATCCTGGGGAAACTTACTTCGTATTGCAAAAAAAATTTGTAAACCGAAAATTACGTTAACAGAGGTGTTAGTAAACCGAGGTATGCCTGTAACAGGGAGCGAAAAAAGAGATGTAAGCATGCAACACACCTCAAAATGTCAGATGCTGGGGGCACTAATAGTAAATATAACAACTATTTTAAAATGCTGTTGATCACATTGTCTCTTTAAGAACTTGTTTTGATGGTCTTTCGTCAAATGCAGCTTTTTTTTCCCCTGGATGACAATGTCTCTTTCAGTGACCACTCTTGACACTATAACCAAGTATTGTAAAATTAACAAAAGCAATAAAGGGCTTCTGGCTGATTAGGAAAAGACTGCGCATACCTCTAACCAACCAGTAGACTTTTTTAACTCCTTCAATGAGGGCAGTTTAAAATAGGAAAGGAAACGGCTGACTGGATTCTATCCAGTCATACTTCATAAGGCCTACTGACTTCACAAATGTTATGGTAATGACACTGCTTTAAAGTGTAACTAAATCCAAACTTTTGTTTTCCAAGTTGGATAGAGTAGGGGAGGGCTATAACCCCTGCCATTTTTTTGTTGCCATCTGTGTTCCATAGGGCTGATTTTCCTTAATTTCGTGCTAATAGCCAAAAAGTAAGTGAGAGAAAATCCCTCCAAAGTGAGGGAATCTAAGGGTGTCATATCAGGGTCCCCAGGGTGTTGCCATTGGAAGATATTCCCTCTATTACTGTTACTTCAACCAAAGATTTGGAATTTTCAGAAAGAAGCTGACAAATGTTCTAATCCATCTCCACTTTCTTTGTCCAAAGCTATAATAAACTTTCAACCATAGTTAAATTTTAACTTTTTTTCGTAGGGGTAGCAAGCACCTCTGATACCTAGCAAGTACTTGCACCACAGTTCACCACTACACTACCCGACTGCCTAGGGCACTACTCAAAGCAGTCACTGACTGCAAATGTTCTGCTGCACCCGGGACATCATACCCTTGTAGGTGTACAAGATCTTCTGGGGTAAGGCAATAATTACAAAAGATTTTGTTTTTACATCTTTTCTGGCAACAATTACGATCCCATAGATAGTTTGCAAAATGTATCCGTTTGTATTTTTCTTTACAAATCTTTTCGCTGGCAACGCTACTTCCCAGGACCACATGGGGCAGTTTTATCGGGTTGGAAAGCTAGGTTCATAGAGTTTTATAAAGTAATGGTTTCACCTTTCCCTTCGGAGAGGTAATGCACAATTCTTTACAAATAGGAGATGGGATGGTTGGCAGGGAGTGCTAAGAAAAAAAACGTTTGATCTGTAAGTATGAATCTCTCAGTTTTAGGTATAGCGCTATCAAAATTGAGCACATTATGTGTTGTACTTTTCAAGACTACACACATTTTATAAACGGATTACCCGTGCAAGTAGTCATACATCACACCACACCATTTTTAGCAGTAACAAATATGGCACCATTGTATTATGATCACAACACTGAACAGGAACCAAAATCATTTCTTAAAAATCTTTAACTATTGCAATAAGCACCAGATGGAACAGCAAGCTATAGGAGGTGAAGCATGCAGTTTGTAGCACTGAACACATAACAAGGGGTACAAAGGGAGGATGTTCTCATGCAGCTCAAGAATAAAGTAGCTAGATTCTGTGCTGAGCTGTTTTTGGTAATGGACGGGTCTTTCCTAACAGACTATATTAAAGACTCCAAGAAGGAAAGCTTTAAAGGACTGTTCTGACGGCAGAAATTAGTGGAAGTATTCCAGAAGAAGAAAGGAAAATAAAGTTGCACAATACTGCATCTGAATAAATTCTAGATTATTTTCCTTTTTCTCCATTGCAGGTTTAACATGTTATTTAAAATAATATCTAACAATCCCACTAATCAATCATTTTGATAGTGGTATTTTTGCTTTTCAAGCTGAACATACAGTCAGGTCCATAAATTCACAGGTCTAACATTCACCTGATTTGGATGTAAATATCCTCAAATTAAAGCTGACAGTCTGCAGTTAAAGCACATCTTGTTTGTTTCATTTCAAATCCAATGTGGTGGTGTACAGAGCCAAAAATGTTAGAATTGTGTCGATGTCCCAATATTTATGGACCTGACTGTATGAGCCATCTACCATTTACATTCATGCAAATGCAAGGACACTACAATTGAGTTACTTGTGGCTCAGGTAGTCTACTGGAAAATGTTATTCTGCATTATTATTTAGAGGTTACTAGTTTGACATGAACACACAGGCTCTGCTCTAATCTCAGCAGTCTGCTACTGTTCTAATGAATTTGACTAGTGTTTGTTTTGGTTTTTTAAGTCCATCCTCCCCAAAATTCTATATTTCCATCCGAAGTAACAGGCATGGATCTGACAACCCAGGATTTTGAACCATAATAGTAACTATGATAAAACCTAGACTTATAGGTGACCTGTGGCTAAAGCAGTGGAATTCTCAGGTGTAGTGCTACTAACCAATCCACCAATCACAGTGCAATGCTTGTGTGTGTTTTACAATAACTAGACTGTGATTGGTCCTCACATTTGTGTGAATGGTTGGTAGGGCACTATATGATAAAAAGCATATGACCCTTATCACTAGTACTCTTAGGGAATTAGGCTTACAGACTTAGCAGTCATCTATGGCATGTGATACTACAACACAGTAAAATCTACTTTTAAATTCTAGAAAAAAACCTGGAAAATGGGACAAAATGTATCTGGTCATTATAACGTATTAGATTCAATGTCAAAAGGTCAAAAATAAAATCTTCTCTGCTCCATGTGGAACGTCAAGATTTAGCTTGGCGACAAACATGTTTTACTGTTAATAGTGAGGACACAAACCACTAACATGGATAGACACATGATGACCGACTTATGGACATAAGTAATTCACCTGGGATTTTGATATTCGAATTACAGAGGGGTACTTTGTGCCACTATGGGGAGTGACGGGAAGCTTCCTGCGGCCAGTAGAACGGGAGGAGGAAGAGTAGCTTTCGGCTGACTGACTCTTGGGGATGCCAACCTCTCTCTTGGGTGGAGATTCTGTGCGACCCAACGGGGATGTTATAGGGCTTGTGAAGCGTATGGGACTGCTAGGAGGTCTTGAGGTAGAGGAAAACGGGATGTGGGAAGCACCAAGCTGTGAATATGTCATGAGGGGGAGGAAAAAAAAACAAATAAATAATGCTTGCAAATGCCATGACTCGTAGCACAAGTCATGGATGTAGGGCTTTGTCTGCATTTCCTCATAGAAGCTCTATTGAATAAGATAAATGCATGAAATCCAAGCATTTTTAAGCATGAACAAAAACAAAATGTTACGCCTATGATCTTCACGACACAAGAAAAAAAAAAAATCAATCCTCTGCAATTAGACATATATGAGACTGGCCAATAATCACCAATTCATTCCATTTTTTTCTTTACATGTTTAGATGGAATGGGGAAAGGTTAAATCTGCTGTCAGGCTTCACTGCTACCTGGGGTGCCAGAGAGAATCCATCTCAATTTTTGTTCTGGGGACAACCTTTTTCCAGATGGGAAGCAAGGGGGAAATGGACAATAAAAAGTTAACATTGGTTCCAGCTTTTCCCTACTTAAAGTGGTTGTAAACCTCAGACATGAAATAAGAACAAAGAATATCTTTCATAGTGTGTTCTTTTCTCAATTAGGAGCACCAAATGTCATTCCTGTCGGCTGTCTCATTCCTCAGCTATCAGCATAACTCACTTCTGACATGTTTTCTTGATACCAAGAAAAAAATGGCGATGGGGAGGGACCTCCAGCAGATTGACAGCCTCAGTTCCTGTGAGCTGTGTGAAGGAAGGGGGAGCGGGGGGAGTGTTGCTTCCCTCCAATTAGCTCTCAGAGTTACCTCACTGAGCTGTGCAATGTGTAATTTCTGATCTTCGCCCCTTTTTTTCTGAACTCAGACAAGTTTATAAATTCTGGACTCGAAACTGATGTACAGAAGAGAAGATTGCACAAAACAGGTACATCTTATGTAGGCGGATTTGTTTAGTCACCTGAGGCCAGTTACTTCACTGGGCATACGTAAGGGTTTACAACCACTTTAAATTAAAAATGTCTTCATTAGGTCTGTTTTCATTACAAAGATTTCCCCTTACTTCCCGTCCTAGGAACAACATTTTCAGATAGGAAATGAAGGTATCTGCTAATAAGTCTCCAACTACAATAAAACCTGACGAGTTCTAATCTTCCTCCACTCTATCCAAAACAAAATGAAAAATTTTGATTTTGGCATAAACTTTAAATATGATAAACAGCAGCTACTGAAAGCCTTTAAAAGGATTCAGTTTCTACTTACAACTCCACTAGAGGTCTTCTGGTGTGAAATTAAAGGTATCATGATCTTAAAACTCATGTAAAAAAAAACCACAACATCTGTACTTCTGTATATGCCACAATGTAGACCATTTTTTTAGAATCCAATACTGTTACTTGATGCAGTCTGCCCTGTCTGTATACAGCCAAAAAATCTACTTGCTGTACATTTTTTAAAAAATCTGAACAAATTTTATATTAAACAATGTGTGATTGATTTTAGTGGCCTTCTATGGTAATATAACAAATATTGCTAAGACATTACAGGAAACACACAGTCTGAATGCTGAACAAAAATAAAAACATTATTGGGGGGAGGGGGGCGTTTACCCTCTGATCGGTTTATTTTTAATAAAAGGTTGCTTACCGGAGTGATTGCTCCTTCTGCCTGAGCCTCCATTGGACTTGTAGGTGTCGCTGGAAGCAGTTGGCCAGCAGCACCTGACATGACATCCAATTTGTCCACACACACACCTGAAGAAACCATGATGTCGAGTCCAACCCTTGGATCTGGTATATTATGCCCCTTATTATCGGTCCAAGAGCTTGGTTTTGGAGGACCGTCTTGTGGAGATTCTTCCAGCACCTGAAGCACCTCTGGTTCCTCTTCTGATGGGCTTCCTGTCACCCTCTGACCGTGATTTCCACTTGAGCCATAATCCTTCAAATCACGCTCTTTGTCCACAATGACCCACTCTTTGGAGTCAACCTCCTGCCGGCAGGAGCTCAGATTCACAGCTACAAACCCATTGCTAACAACTCCATCCAAGTGTTCTGGGGAACTCGCTGATCCAGGCTTAGAACCCTCTGGCACATACTCATCATCATAATGCCAGACATGGTCTGCATGCATAGAAGCTGGAGCAACAAGTGTCTTCCGCGGTTGAGAAGGTGAAGGAGAAGAGCCATCAGCAACTGGTCCATCTTTTGAATGTGCCTCCTTCTGAACTTTTTCAGCACTTTAAAAGAACAAAAATACATTTAAAAGAAAACAGCTTGACAACAACATGAATTGTTACCACTGAGCATCTAAGCCAGTCAGCTGTGGCAATCAGCCACAACACCATAATACACAGCTAACCAAGCTACTATGGTATCATTTGTTGAAGGACAACCTTTATCAATTTCAGGAAGCAACTTACCCTTACAAGGTATATTATATTCAAAATCGAACATTAAATCTGGAGCACCGATTCAATAGTTCACTCCAGTCTAGGGCGGACTGACCATTCGTAAACTGCCGGAGGGGACCCCATGAGAGTTTCAGTCCGTTCTGAGAGGTGCCCACAGCTTTAGAGGAGGTTTAAGGTGGGAGGAGGCAGAGAATCATGACATTCCTGCCAGCGGCGATGCAGCACTGGGAGAGGGGGACTCAGAGAGAATTGTGCTGGCCAGAATGACAGAGTGATGGTAGACCCATGGGGATGAGGGCAGCAACAGACACTACGGTCACCTCTCCTCCCGGGGAATTCAGCGGAGGGGCGGGGCCACAGTCCACATCCCCGCTGTGGAGGACTGCAGGTCGATACTGGAGAGAGCAGAGTCCACTATGGAGCAAGCAGCAGGTCAGTGATCGTAAGCCCAACAGCTTAGTGTGTGCACTCTGCTTTATTCTAATCTGTACCAGCCAGGCCAGCCAAAGTGTGATAGTACTCACACACTGATATTATTATTATTATTATACAGTATTTATAAAGCGCCAATAGTTCGCTCAGCGCTGTACATTACAAAGGGAGACAGAACATGTGACAGAACAATACCAATACAATGCAAAACATGAGGGGATCAAGGGCCCTGCTCTTTCAAGCTTACAATATCTGTACATTGAGTGCACACTGATCTCTGTACACCGTGTGCCACTGTACTACTGCATAGGGAATAGCACTCAGTGTATAAAGATCAGTGTTATATACTGAATAGGGAACAGCATTCAGTGTATAGACATCAGTGTCATATATAGGGAATAGCACATAGTGAGTGCTATTCCCTGTATACAACACTGATATCTGTATTAGAAATGGACCAAACACCCCCGTTTGGTTCGCTGTTGAACGTCCAAACCTACAGAATGTTCGACCGCGAACTTCGAACACAAGCTGAACAACTGAGCGGCATATCTTCCTGCATCTGAGTTTGTGGTAAGATTCGCTCCGCTCAGTTACTAAAATACTGCATGAGTTATACTATTAGTCATGCGGTATTTTAGTAGTGAGAGATTCATTCATGTTTCAGCTGTCAGTGAGGCTCCCCGCTGACAGCTGAATGTCAAAAGAACTGTTTGCATTGCCCGACAAACTTTTTTTTTTTTTTTTTTTTAAATGACATGGGTCCCCCCTCCCATTCATACCAAGCCCTTTGGGTCTGGTATGGATTTTGAGGGGAACCCCCACGCCAAAATGTAAAAAAACAAAAAACGATGTGGGCCCCCCCCCCCCCCCAAAAAAAATCCATACCAGACCCTTATCCGAACATGCAGCCTGGCAGGTCAGGAAGGGGGGGGGGACGACAAGCAAGCGGACCCCCCTCCTGAACCATACCAGGCCACGTGCCCTCAACATGAGGGGTGCTTTGGGGCAGAAGGCCCCCCCAAGCACCTTATCCCCATGTTGATGGGAACAAAGGCCTCTTCCCCACCGTGGGCCTGTAGTTGTGGGGGTCTGCGGGCGGAGGGGCTTATCAGAATCTGGAAGCCCCCTGTAACAAGGGGGCCCCCAGATCCCAACCCCCCCCATGTGAATGAGTATGCGGAACATGGTACCCATTCACAAATGAAAAAAAGTGTTGTGTAAAAAATAGAGGAGACAGTCTTTAACAAGTCCTTTATTAAAATAAAAATTTAAAAAATGTCCCCGAAGTAGATCCAACATCAATAACGATGCACGCTGTCGCCGCTACCCGAAAAAATAAAATAAAAAAACCCACTCCGCTCACGACGCCAGCTCCCACCATCTGACAGCTGCTCCCGCATTGACAGTTCTTATATACTGTCATGATGTCACAAGGGGGTGGGGGTTCACCCCGCCCCCTTGTGATATTATCATGCGCTGTGATTGGTCAGGTGCATTGCTTTGACCACTCACAATGCACTGTCAGGGCACAGTGCATTGTGGGGTGTGGCGGGCAAACACCGAACACCCGAACGGCCCATCCCCAATCTGTACATTGAGTGCGGCTCAGTGTGCAGATATCAGCGTTATATATAGGTACTAGCATTCACTGTATAGAGATGTGTTATATATAGGGAATAACACTTAGTGAGTGCCAGGGATGGAATGCCCAACAGACTGCACTACCCAAGGGCCCAATGCCAGTAAGAGGCCAATCCTGGTATTTTCTGGAACAGGGGGAATCTGACAGTTGGGGATGATCAGGGCAGAGGCAGTTACAAGCACCAATATCCCTGTATGGCTTTCCATGAAGCAACTGCAAGCTGCTTCTCCTCCTCTCCCTCCTATGGTTTTCAGCTGCTTCATGGTAAGCCATACAGGTAAATCAGTGCTTGTAATCCCTCCCCCCATCACTGCACCAGTCATCCCCGACTTTCCATAAGATTCCCCCTGCTCTCTGAGCCCCTGTGTGCTCCCCTGCCCCCCTGCAGCGCCGACAACATTGTTTCCTGTTGGCTGCTGTGGGGGATGTGTCAGGATAGACGGGGAAGGGGCCAGTAAATATGTCATTTACAGGCCCCTTTCTTTTCTGCATGAGCACAGTGAGTGATCTGTCATTCATCTTTAGTGCAGGTGAGGCTACAGAGAAAGGGACCGGAGAATCTTCAGTCCCTTTCTCTTTCTCAAAAGTGAGACTTCAGGCCAAAAACCCCCAGCAGGGCTGATAAAAAAATTGTAATAAATAATAAAACATTAAATTGTAAAAAATAAATTAAAAAAATATATAAAAATAAAAAGACTAGTGACACAGTCCATTGCGCACCCCCCCCAAAAAAAAAAGTGTTGTGAATAAAAATGTAAAAGAAATATAAATAAATTGTAAAACATTAAGAAAAATTAAAAAAGTAAAATTTTAACAAAATAATAGAAAAAACGAATAACACTGTCCACTGCTCTATTGACAATGTCCACTTCCTTGCTGACACCATCCACTGCCCACCCCCCCCCCCCACAAAAGCATTGTGAAAAAATATGTAAAAATTAACATTGAAATAAATAATACATAAAGTAACAAAAAAAATAAAATTAAAAAAATTAAGGGCTCATTAAAACAGGTTCCCTCGAGTATGGATGAGTGGATTGTTTGTGCAGACTGTTACTCTATGGGGACGTAGTGAGAGTGCAAACACAGCTGCAGATCCGCTTTTGACAGGTGTGGGCGAGTGGCCCTGAATGCACACTGTTTGGGGCCATGCACCTGCACCCACAGGCCTGTCAAATTAGGACTTCATAAACTTATTAAACATTTCTTTTGAACATAACGTAGAGAAAATCTGTGATGAACACATGTACTGTGGGCTGTGCAATCTGGTTGGGCTTTGTGTGGGTGTGGCTTGACTTTGGGTGGGGACACAGGGGCCCCATGATCTTCTATTGCCCGGGGGGCCCCATGAGTTGTCAGTCCGCTCCTGCTCCAGTCCCTTTTATCAGTAATCTGGTGACCTAAGAAACGTGCTTGTGATGAAGGACAGCTCCTGCCAAACACACCAACTGCTAGCTTATTACTGTAACTCACATGAAGAAGGCCAATATAAAAAAAATTCTAAGGAAAAAAAAAAAAAAAAAAGATTACAATTTTGGTAAATCTGAATCTGATTACTAAAGTGGTATGCAGTGACACAGAGAAGTTACAAGGGACAAAATTTCAGTTCCTGTGACGAGGGATCACAATTTAACTGTTTGACAACTGCAATCTGTATAATAAAGCTGAAGTGAATTAAAAAAAAACAAAACAAAAATAAAAATGAGCACAAGGGACATGACTTATTAATAACGTTCTATGTTCCTTGTGCTGCTAGCTCCTGGTTTCCTTGAAACTTTGCTCCAGCAATTGCCTCCCGCTACACCAACCACCATAGTTTTCCACTGTGGCGGGGGCTGATAGAACTGAGGAAGCTGTCCCTCGTCAAGAGTGCCCAACTATGTTTGCCCATTCTGCCCAGCACTTGCATTCATATAAACTGGTACTTCAACTTCTATGAATGAAATGTGATCTATGAATGGAGGAGGCAGACCAATCATCTGTCCATGTGTGCAAAGAAACAAACAGAGGGCGCACGGGCCTAGTGCATTACCTTCTAAAAATTAGATTTATTGAATATAACGTAGTATAGTCACAAAAGAATAAAATGAAAGGCACATCAGAAAAAAGACAGCATGGTCCAATCTCCCTAGATGGTGGCTGTTGGGGGACTGTAGGCCTCCAAATGGCTGACAAGTTTAGAGACAGAACCTCTTCCTCAGAGCCTCGAAACACGTCAGCCATTTGGAGGCCTACAGTCCCCTTTGATTTTATTCTTTTGTGACTATACTACTTTTTATTCAATACATTTCATTTTTAGAAGGTAATGCACTAGGCCCGTGCGCCCTCTGTTTCTTTGCACACAGTTTCTTTGGATCTCCCTGGTCCGTTGAGGGCAGCAATGCTTGCATTCCCAAAAAGTACTCCATGTGGGGTTACTGACATTGTGGAGCTCATCGTTCAGTGCAGGAGTTTCAGCATTCATTTGCTCATGCTTTTTTTTATCACTCATCTGTCCATCCTCCATTTACTGATCCTTTTTGATGAGACTTTGAAGGATTCTGCACATTAGCCATCAGAGGGTGACCTGTATCTCACTAACTCAGTCTCATTTACCCTCCCTGCTTAAAGTTAATGTAAAGGGAAAAACTCTTTCCGGACAGAGTAGGGAAGGGTTATACCCTCAGTTAGGTTTTTTTTGCTGTCTGTGTCCCCACTGGGACGATTTAGCATCTTTATTTGTCCTAACCATTGTCACTGAGACAAAATAAGTGGAAATCCTTAATTTTAGAGGTGCCACAAGAGCGAGCGGCGAGGGAAAATTTTACAGTGGGAATGAATATTCAGGTGACTTTTTCCCCTTAAGAGATTTCCTCTCACTTTCCTGTTGTATCTGTAAGCAGATGTGAAGGGTGCCCACTGCTCGCACATGCACAGTGGGCAACCAGCTGTGAAGCCGCAAGCTATCACAGCCAGGTGCCCACACTTAACATGCCAGCGCCGGGGACACAGGACAGCCAGTGAACCCATCTGCAATGAGGACACCACTGGATCCTGTGACAGGTAAGTGGCTGTTTTTTTATAAAAGTCAGCACCTACAGTTTTTGTAGCTGCTGACTTATTCTCACCAGAGACTGGAGCTCTACTTTAATATGTCAGCTGCACAGGGAAGGCATACTTGTCAATCATTCAGGTGAGTTATAGACTTGCATTATGAGAAAGAGCAATGAAAAAGAATCCGTATGGCACACTGCAAAACCTGTGTATATAATGGGCAAATATGAATGCCCCCATTAACACATATTAATCAAAAAACATCCCGATAAAAATAAAGATGAATACAAAATAAGTAAACATATACAGTATATATAAAAAATATTTGACTATACTTCCACTTTAAAGAAAAATTGTGTGAAATTTTAGATTTCATCAAACATGATTTTTGCTGGATAAAATTAGCAGCTCACTGACTGGTTCCATTTGTTGCCTGTAAAAGCCCATTCATGGTAAACTGGCATGGTCTTCTGACAGTCCTCCCCACAGCAAGGTATGCTCGCCACCTTCATTGCATTGCCACTCCATCAACCTGCTCTGTTGGTCTACTGGAGTGAACCTTCTGGGTATGAGGAAATGTGTGATCTTCCATGGACAATGCAAGGGCTACCCATTCACCAAGCCCAAACACTGCCACGTAACTGGGCTGTTATCCTCATCATCAGGGTAATCTACAACAGCAACCAATGGTGGAGCTTGCCCAGTGTAGACTCCTGTGGTAGGGAGGCCATAAAAAAGCATAGATTAATGAATATACCTTCCTGGAGGTCTGAATGAGGGCTATCAGAGGATATTGTCACTTTTTCTTTAGGGGAATGTGACTGTTTAACTACTGAAAAACATGGCCATAAAAAACTTTTATGTATAAATCAAATTGTACCAAATACAGAATGCATACCATTTCAGCATGTATCATGGCACAATAAGTGATCAAAGTACAAATGTAAATTAGCATTAAATAGAACCTACAGACCCCAACAGGGGATCTACACGTTACAAATGCCACATGTAAAAAGAAGTTGCTTGATTTCTGTTTTTTTAAGGCTTTTTTTTGTAGCTGTTGGCAATTTAAATAAATTTCCTGACTCACTGAAAATGCACATAGGCTTCTAGATTGTACTGACCAGCTTTACATTAAGTTTTAGATTTTTTTTTTTAATGTGCAAGATAGCACAGAAGTCTTTGGATTTAGTTACAAGAAATTTAAATTAATTGGCACACCCTTGCTGTGATTGAAAGCAGAACCAGAGAAGTTTTCTTACCAGTTCTCCAAGAACTTGTCAGCATCAGGTTTTGATTCCAAAGTCATTCTCTTCTCCAGTTCAAAGCTGTGTATGTTGCGCAGTTTGCGCAGAAGGGGTACATCTCGATCGAGCTGTGTGGTTTCGGATCGTACACGCACAGGAGAGCCAAGACTAGGAGCATTATGTAAACCATTTGCCTGGCCATTACTATGTTCCTCCTCAGTAGCAGCCTAAGAAATAAATACATTTGAAAAAGTTAGATTATTTTAAAACCCTACTAATGTACCTATTAGGAAAAAACACTGCATCCAAAACTATTTAGCCCTTGTTCACATGCGGCGATTATCTCCATGCCCCCTGCAGGACCGACTTTTACTGGCATGGGGATGCACTAGTGCTGTGCACATACCTATGCCGGCATCCCATTTTAATCTACTGGGACACAAGGCTGCGCAGACAGAGCTACTGTTTCCCTATATTGCATGCAGGTGTGGGTCCTCGAGCATATAGACGGTGTGAACAGGACCTTACGTGGAGGTTAAAGCCAAACCGCAGCAAAAAGCAGCAAGATAAAAAGGAACAGCAAAAAAGAAAATTAAAAACAAACCACTTTTGCTGCGATATTCAACTTCACTTTAGAGATATCAGTATTTCTTTTGCCGTTCTTTCTCTCGGTAAGATGGCCAGCATCACTCAACCAATTTTCTCTCAGTCCAGGTCATCCTGGACCCACTGCACCCAGATGTATTCTCCGAACATAGATAGTGTGTGTTCGGAGCATATGACCATGCTTTCATCAACCCCAGACACATACTCGCATTTAGCGGCATCTTCTAATTCACCTCTATGGCCAGTTGTACAAACCAGCATCAGGCCCCAGGAAAGTGATTATGCAGGCTTTGCATGCAGTACAGTCCCTATATAGCCACGTGCATGAGGAATTACACATGCAATACCAAAATACCCAATTCAGTAAGAGAAATAATTTTCACTATGTAAGATTTAAAGTTCACAAACTTTTCAATGAACTTTTATTAAAGCAGAACTTCGGGCACAAAAATTCTTTGAAAGATATTCCTTAATAGCCATACACTGTATAAATCTACTTTATGAGCACCAAATCCCTTTGCAAACCCAGAGCATACCCTGTAAAATCAGATGTTCTGTACATAGCCTGTGCAGGGAGCAGAGCTGTGGATGCAAGCTCCACCCTCTACAGGCTGCCTCCAGAAAACTACAGGAGGAGGCAGAGACAAGACCAGTCATCCTGCACAAGAGCAGAGACCAGCAATGACCGGTCTTTATTACCAGAAGCTCCTGCACAGAGAAAATTCTGCACTAGATTACTGCACAGATCTGGAAGTAGTGCACAAAGCACACCGAGACTTAAGAATATACATGCCTCTTCTATTTACATGATATTTGCTTATTTCAGATTTGAGCATTAAAATTTTCAAAAGTATAAAACGTTCAAAAAAAAAGTCCCAGTTTAAAATTCTACCCCTGCTAAGAGAAATTCATAACAATAGGACCATCTGGTAAAGTGGAAGTACCTTGCATAGTCCCATTTTAATCTTATTCCTGTTGGCATCCATTTCTTCCCAAACATCTCTCTCCTGGGGGCGCTGATGACTGGGTGATCCGGGGATCCTTTCAGGGGAGACCATAACTGGAATTCCATTCTCGCCATCGCTGAGTTGCTCATCTGGAAACACTTCATCTGTGTTCTCACGCAACAGGTCTCCAGGTATGGGTGTAGCATTTGCAATCCTGATAAAGGGGATTATTAGTTTAGTATTGAAGTTCACAAAAAAAGGAAGAAGCTGTGAAATATATTCTCCCCTTCATAGAGACAATGCACTCCTCAGGCAACTGGAGGTGCTTGTAATCACAAAGGGAGCTCATCCCATTTAAAACCTAAAATTAACTTTCTTTGTCCAGCAAGATCACTTTAAATGGTAAGTTCACTTTTTAAAAAAACGATAATAAATGCACATTTTTTTGCAGGTAAAAAAAATGTACATTCATTATTTTTTTTCTTTAGAGCCTAGAAATCATTGCATCCGCGATCAGCTGATCGCAGGTGCAGTGTCAGGCTTCTGCACAGACTGTCAGTACCGTACTTCCGATATGGGCAGGCAGTTACTGCAGTCCAGGAAGCTCAATGGGACGAGTGCGCCCACCAGTGCCCTCACAGTAAACTGAGAACTACAGCCTGTCAGCCACAAACGCTGATGTTACTTGTAGGCATTCATTCACAGGAAACTGTGAATGAATGATGTGGCCATAGTCCCGCATGGCCGCGTTATTTTCATTTAGTGACCAGGAGGCAGGGCGAGGATCCCTGGTCTGCTATCATGGGGGGGTTTGGGGTGCAGATCCTGGAACATGTTACATGTTCCCCCCTAAAAACGGGTACAACACGTAACATGTTCTAAAAGGTGAACTTATCCTTTAAATGCCAGCCCCATCGGCTGCATATATGTACCTTCCCTTCAGCCACCTGGAGAAAAGACAGAATACACTGTTCGTCACGATTTGGAGCTTACACAGAGCAAAGGGCACACTCTCCACATCTGTAGAGCAGCACTGGGTTCTTGACTGAACAATCACCAAGACCTACCGCTGTTACACAGAAGGCGGGGATTAAGTCCGATGTTCACCCACACCATTTGTTTTTTTGGTTCCTGACAGCTAATTAGAGCAGGGGGCATTAGAGGGAAGGCTAGTATAAAATTCTGATGGTGTCAGCATTAAAGTAATTTTGTTGCTTTACCCTGGATGGGCTAAAAGCAGGTTCGGTTTAAAAGGTGAAGTTTAAATTAAACAAATGCATGCACATCTTTTTTATAGGTAAAAAAAAAATGTCCATTATTTTTTAATTAGGAGCCTGTACAGCAATGCAGCTGCAATCAGCAGATCACAGGTACAAAGCAAGGCTCCTGCAGACTGTCAGTGTAGCTGTCTTCCCACACCTCAGCAGAAAGGATCAATGAACTACCTAGAGCACTTATCAGCACCCTGGTAGTTAATTGAGAACTACAAGCTGTCAGCAGCAACTGCTGATGGTAGTTGTGGCTCTCCCATTCACAGAACTCTGTGAATGAATGACGCAAGTAAGTGGATGGAGCCCCACACGGCTGTATTTATTTTTTTAAATTGTGCCTGGTGGTGCTGAAAGAAGATCCCCATCCCGCTGCCATTCCGGGGACTCGGGGGTTCAGGGACTGCTCATTTAGGAACATGTTGCACTCTGGAGATGGGTGTAACGTTATGAAAGGTGAACTTGCCCTTTAAGCTATGTACAGTTTGATTTAAGCTACGCATCTGCTAAGTAATTAAAATCATTTTGCAAAGGATTAGAATAAAGCCAAATGCAGAGAGAATAATCATTAATAATTGCAAGTTAAAATGCCACCCAATTATGTAGTAATGTTGTAAACATTTATTTCAACCCAACTAACATGACACAGGGGATCCCATCTAGCCCAATTAAAAAAAAAATTGTACTAATTGAACTTCATATTAATGACACACAAAATTCAGGTTAGCCTGCCCACAGTTCCTATTCTCTTGTACTCTCTCCAGTTTTAAGTACTAGGTCTAGCAAGACTAATGGCCAGGAATTATGCTAAAGATGGACAGTCATTCTCTATGACCAGGCCTGATGTATCCGCAGAAGGAATCTGGAGAACGTTGCACTAGCGCCGGGCAGGCTGAGGAGTATAAATTAATATGGTTTTATCAGGAAATTCATTAAAGGGTAAAATGGTTATAGAAGGTAGAATACAGGAAGATAGAAGAACTTATCCTAAAGGTCTAATATATCATTTTATTTTGGAAAACATTTGGCACTTTTTTTGACCATTCTTCTTACTGTGAAGGTTACATTCAATGCAAGTGGTGAACGATCACTGTTTTGGGAAACCATTAAATTGATGGGGTTAATTCCACTTTAAAGCCATTTCTAAAGCCAAGAACTAGGCAGGGAATACATGAAGGTAAAAGCACTTTGCCTTTAGAACCACTTTAGGTAAAATGTTAATTAGAAATATGCAAATTCGTTAAATTATTTTTTTTATTTTGGTCTTAGTGTCAGCATGTCTTGATCCATACCCAATAGCAGCAGGGGTTAGGCGAGTGTGAAGCTGTGGGGTGGTTGATGTTGTTGTGGTAGTTAGAGAACCATCCAAACCACTCTTCTCCCAGTCAAAAGGATCACTTTCCACAACTCCATAGGATTTCATGCTATTATCAAAGACAGATAAAAGAAGCTGCAGAGAGACAAAGAAGACAAAATCGGTAACTACCAGCTTAACATTAGACATAAAAGTGGTAAGATATCACAGATATTCTCTTGGTTTAGTGATATTACAGATATTTTAAATATCCAGAAGTTAACAGAGTAGAGATACATCCACAATTTGAACAGACAATTTTAGGACCTGGATATCAGATGAAGTAACATGTAGCTAATAACACTGACGGGTCCTGCAGACTTGTGTGCAGACAAAGGGTGGATGGCCTGCATTTGTAGGAGAATTTTGTAGTACAGTGTCCCTTAGAAAATGTTGATTTTGAAAGGAAGTAAAGGTTTTCTGATAAATCTGTTGGGGTGTACTCATTTATGCTGAGCACTGTATATAGTGACAACTGACAGCAAAATTTGTGGTGTCTCTGTGGATGAGGGGAGGTTGGAGAAAGCACCCTTTTCCCGGAAGAATTTCACTATGCGCATGTGACAACTCATATGGAGGGTCTCATTATTTGGCATGTGCGTGACCAATGACACCAGGAAGACCTTAAAAGTGTTTGAAAGTGACAGCCTGAGGAGCTCATTCTATTCTCTCATCACTGCTTGTGAGACGCTTTTCATTCTGTCCTAGGGTATTTTCAAGTGTATATGCCTCTATATGAAGTCCTGGGTTTAAGCACTTTGTTGATTTATTTTTTTGTATACTATCACAATATCATGGTTTATAGAAAAAAAAATTTTGATTTCACATATTGCTGTTAATAGATATTGGGTGTAAAGCCTATGGCCACACCACCCTGAATGTGCCCAATGTCGTCTGAAAACAAATCGGAAGCTAAGCAGGGTTGCGCCTGGTTAGTATTTGGATTGGAGAGATTGGAAGTAAGATCTTGGTGATTATTTTTCATTACGATTTATTTTTATCATTTTTGTTTGGGTCTGCACTTGTTATATACCTAAACCCAATTCATTGCTTCCATTACATTCCTGTTCCTGCTTGTAATAGCAGTTTGAGAAATCCAGTTAATGTCAGGCATTTTAAAGTCACCCATAATTAAAACCTCTCCCTTTATTGCCATTTGAGTTATCTCATCAATCAACAAGTTGTCAAACTTCAGCCCGCCTGTAGATCTGTATACTACACCAATTCTAAAGGAAGATCCCTCTCTGGTTGGAAGGTGGTCCTACAAAGTATTGGGGGGGGGGGGGGGGGGGGGGGGGGGGGGGGGGGGGGGTGGAATATAAATGCACGCCACACTTTTCAGATATTTGCAGACAGTTTCGAAATCAATTTATCATTTCCCCACCACTTCACAATTATGTGCCACTTTGAGTTGGTCTATCACATAAAATCCCAATAAAACACATTTACGTTTTTGGTTGTAACATGACAAAATGTGGAGAATTTCAAGGGGTATGAATACTTTTTCAAGGCACTGTATGGCAGCTCCACCTCCTGTCTTCTCTACTCTGTTGTTCCTGTTTCGTGTATATCCTGGTATAGTTACTTCCCAGTCATTTGAGAGCGCAGTGCACATGCCCCTATAGAAAAGCTTACCTGTAGGTACAGTAAATATCTCCTAAACGTGCACTGTTTATGACATATTAAAAGGATGTCTATTGAGAGAGCTGTGTTGAGGCCATGACTCCTGCTTGCATACACGGGAGTGACCTCATTACAGCTCGGCCAGTCAAATGGCCAAAGCCCGCAGGCAAGACCCTGTGAAGACAGATTTCTCATCAGCAGTGTCAGGGCGCCACTGGAGGGATCTGTTTCACATGCAAGTCTGTCATACTATGCTAGTATGCAATGAATACTACCACATTATGACACTACCCTCCGGGGAATAGTTTACTACTTCTTTAATGCTGACAAAGCTATCAAAACCAGCTGGCCCCTATAAATCTATGGCCACTTAAGGAGTCAAGACCACTCCTGTCAGCAGGTGAGGTAACACCTCCAGAGGTAATTGGACAAGGGGTTAGAGTCCGTCCCCTATCTATACTTCATGCACACGTGTCTGAAGGAATTCAGCAGATCTTTTGTGGATATAAGCTACCTCAAATCTTCCTGTCTCTTCAAGAAATCCCAGACTTGATGATGTTGAGATCAGGTTTCTGTGGGGGCTAAACCATCACTTCCAAGACTCCTTGTGCCTCTTTACACTGAAGATAGTTGAATAATGAATGAACAATTATATATATATATATATATATATATATATAGTGACTTGGTGCTTGTTGTTCTTCAATTTGTGACTTTTGTGAATCCTTCAAATAGTGAAGATGTGCGCTCACCTCCTTTGATGCCTGCAATTAGGCTATACACACTTTCGGTTCACTTTCCCTGGAACCTGCTGGACATATACTTTTGCTGGTAAAATTGGGAGATCCTTCCTTTAGGAGTAATGGATGTATCCTCTGGTGGCTGATTATCCCCTCAGGGATTACACACTCCTTTTGTTATCTCAGACCTCCTAATTATCCTCTCCTTGTGTTACTCCGCATGCAGGAAGAAATAGAGGACATAGTGCTTTACCTGTTAAAACTTTTTATTCCCACCATCCAAGTATTAAACTCACATTAGACAGGTTTAAATAACGCAATATCCCATTGGAAATCCTCTGCTGGCCTCTGAGTCATACACCTGCCGTCTATCGTGTTGTACGGCTCCTCTCCAAGCTACGTCATCACTCGGAGAGGAGCCGTACAACACGATAGACGGCAGGTGTATGACTCAGAGGCCAGCAGAGGATTTCCAATGGGATATTGCGTTATTTAAACCCGTCTAATGTTTTAAAAGCGTGTATAGCCTAATTGCAGGCATCAAAGGAGGTGAGCGCACATCTTCACTATTTGAAGGATTCACAAAAGTCACAAATTGAAGAACAAGCACCAAGTCACTATATATATATAAACAATTGTTTATTCAATGGGGACTATTATTTTGATGATATTTGGATTCATACTAATCACTACTAATTATTTATGAGCATTTGGTTATTTTTATTTATGGGGGATCATTTAAATGCGTTTTAGTTGGTGGTTTACTATTTTTATTATATTAAATGAGGGTATTATAAATATAAATGAAATTGAGGGTATTAGTAAGTACATCATGTCACTAATAGATGATTTATGAGCACTTGGTAAAATATTTTTTTAGAGGAGTATTTCATGTGGAATTATTTTGATATTTATTTGGAGGAGATTGATTAGTTGAAATTATCTATTTAAATATTTTTTGGTATTTATACACTTTTATTAGTTATTTGTATCATAATTTGAATTAATTTAATGGTAATAATTTAATTATTATTTATTGAGAAGTATTTAGGAGCGCAACATATATTTGTAGATATTTCCAACACAGTTGTAGTTATGTGTTTCATGTTTGCGATCCTCTAGTAATTATCACAACTGTGGCTCGCAAGTCACTCTGATTCATCTTTATCTGACAAACTGTCTCCGGCCACTAGACCCAAAAAGAACAATCTTACTTTCATCAGTCCACAAAATGTTGCGCCATTTCTCTTTAGGCCAGTTAATGTGCTCTTTGGCAAATTGTAACCTCTTCAGCACGTCTTTTTTTCAACAGTGGGACTTTGCGGGGGCTTCTTGCAGATAGCTTGGCTTCACATAGGCGTCTTCTAATTGTAACAGTACTCACAGGTAACTTTAGACCTTTGATCTTCCTGGAGCTGATTGTTGGCTGAGTCCTTGCCATTTTGGCTATTCTTCTATCCATTTGAATGGTAGTTTTTCGCTTTCTTCCACATCTTTCAGGTTTTGGTTGCCATTTTAAAGCATTTGCAATAATTTTAGCTGAGCGGCCTATCATTTTCTGCACTTTATATGTTTTCCCCTCTCCAATCAACTTTTTAATCAAGGTACGCTGTTCTTCTGAACAATGTCTGGAATGACCCATTTTCCTCAGAATTTCAGAGAGAAATGCACTGTAACCAGCATGTATAACATTTGCTGCCTTCCTTCCTTAAGTAAGGGCAATAATTGTCACCTGTTTTTCAAAGAATGAATGACCTCACTAATAGAACTCCACACTGCTATTATTTTGAACATGCCCCTTTCAATTAGTGATTCAATTACACAGAGTCAGCAGCATGCATGTCATGACTGTTGGGTCTGTTGGATTTCTATTACTCTACTACACCTGCTAGTAAATTATTTGCCATGTAGAAATATAATTTCTACCAAGACAGTGATTGACCAGGTTAGTAATGTCTGACTGCTATTATTTTGAACACAACTGTACCTGGGTCCCACTGGTTTCTGTCAGTTCTGTGCTGATGGCACTGCTGGACAGCTTCTAATGTTGAAGGGAAGTAAGCATGATGTGTCTTATCTGCTGCATTAAGGCAGACCACTGCATCTACAGTCATCACTGTTGTCTTATTCTTTGTGCTTCTTCAAAAGATCATGGACAGTGCATCTTGAAACCCCAGTCTGCTTTGAAATCTTTGCCTGGGAGAGACCTTGCTAATGCAGTATAACTATCTTGTTGCTGTGCTCAGTCTTGCTATTGTGTATTACCTGTGACATGAAACTGTCTTCCACAACCTCACCTTAGTAGCAGAGTTTGGCTGTTACTCAGTTTTAAGCCTCCTACACAGCTGTTTCTGTTAATGACTGTTTAACCAATCATACCAAGCAGGTGCCAAAGATCATCAATTTCATATGTAGGTTTAAACATACACCTCACTCTAATCCTACAAAATCCCAGACTTTGGCTTCAAGCTAGCATCAACTCTTACACTTTAACACTTTGTATACTTGCAGAAAGGTAGTCATACCAAATATTGATTGGATTTAGATTTATCTTCTGTTCGATCACTTTGTATTTTGGAAATTGATAAAAATAAAAAATTAAAATATATATTTTTGTCTCCCTGCAGGGGAATTTCTCCACTACCTCCAGATCTCTCATTTGTTTGCGACACACATGCGTATGCACTCCCCCCTCGCTAGTTTGACTCTTTTGGAGGGTATCTGCAATTCCGATCCCCATGTTCCAGGCCTCATATTTAAACTATACTCTCATCTTACCTCTCCCCCTTCCACCCTACCTGATTATGCGTCTAGCTGGACCTTGGACTACAGCTGGAAAGGGAGGACTGGGATGACATTTGGGCAATGACCAAATCATCTTCTCAAATCATACTGGCAATAGAGACTAACTATAAGGTTCTCCTACACTGGTACTTGGTCCTGGCCAGAATCTATAACATTTTACCTACCCACCCCTCTGTGTGTTTTTGTAATTACAGGGAGATGGGCACACATGTTCATATTTGGTGGACATGTCCAGGTGTGCAGCAGTTTGGGGTAGAGATTTACAGGATGGCCTCCACATTAACTAGCCTTTAGACCCTGATCCAGCGATTGCGTTGCTGAATCACTATACCCTTGATTTTACCAGAGCCCAGTGGAAACTTTTATTGCAAGTTATGACCTCATCCAAACAAACCATTGCGATGGCCTGGAAGACCCTGACACTTTGTATACTGAAGACAAAAAAACAGGGTTACCAAAGATGATGCATAGTAAAATAGAGGCCACCTTACAGGATACAATCTAAGTATGGCAGCCTTAGGTAGACCCTTTCCTTCCGCCTGGGTTTGACCCTCCTTGAGCCTTGATGGTTTGGTTTGCAACAAGGCTGTAGCTTGCAGCCCTAGCGGACTGGAGCAGTTGACCTTTCCCTTTTCTTCCTCTTCTTTTCTTCGCTCTTCCTTCGTCTCTTTACCAAGATACCCGGGGTTATCCCGTATGTATCTTATAAGACCTTTAATCTGGGTAGCCTGTTGCCATTATTTTTCTTGATTGTCAAACTTATATTATATGAATTTTTGGAGGCTCCCAGCCCCCACCATCATTATCAACTAATTGTTGGACCATTTCTCTTCATTTTCTTGTCAGTTTAATATGACTCATTGTCATACTTTTTCAACATGTTCCCTGTGTATCACTAATATCCACATGCGTCTTTGGCGCTACTGTTAAGAATTGACGTAATTGCTTCAATAAAAATATTGAACAAGAAAACATTTTTGAAAACATTCTTACTTTACAACATTTCTTCACACCTGTCCAAAACTTTTGCACAGTACTGTATTTCTATGCACTGCCTGCCCAGAGATATAAAAGCTAAGAATTCAGACTCCTATAGATAATGGTGCATTAGGTTAGTGTCTCTATGACCCATATACTGTACATTTGCTGTTAATCTGTATAACATTGCTAAGTGTGGCTGCTGACTGAGCACAGATCAAGGTCCATCTGTAAGCTACAAAATCTGCCAGACATAGATCTCTGTGTGTGTGGTCACATAGCATACAGTCAGCTGACAAACTACTCCAAATTGTGTGTGTGGGTGTGTGCTAGTAGGAAAAGTAAAGTAGTAACGTAAAGATTCTAACTCACAGGATAGCGTAACGAATCCTTAGAACCATAACAACCAGTGATATTTGGTAACTGGTAAGATAAACTGAAAAACTGTTTTAAGAGTCTTGTGCACATAACTGTGAAGGTTTATGTGAATTTATCAATTACTGGTCAGATTCAATACCATTATTGACCTTAAACTGCCAGAAATGCTTTTATGCGAAGCATAATATCTGAAACTGACAAAAAGAAGCAGACACAGAACATTTGGGACAGAACATGGGGCTTTACTTGGGCCATATCAGCAAGTACATGTGTTTCCTGCATGACATCGGCTTGGCTACATTTCTTATTCAGTATCATCTCAATATAACTGGATGCATGCAATGTTACCTGGTAATCTGGTTTGGTGAAGTAATCCAAACCGCTGATGTGCTCTAGGAACACATAAAACTCTGGGGGAAGGTGCTTCAACATAAGGCGATGCTCATAGCGTTCTTTTATGGAGCCTACTTGTTCCTATGAAAAAAAAATTATGTGTGGTTAGAGTTTACAAGAACACAGAGATTAAAAAAGCATAGTGCATTATCATGTGCATGATTATTATTATCCACCTAGCACGAGAAAAAAAAAAAAAATATACTGTATCTCAGAAAGTGAAATAAATATTTAGCCACTTTAAAGTGTGTGTCTGGCCAAAAAACTTTTTTTCTTTTCTCTTTTTGAGAAGACTGAGGAGGAGCGGGGGCCTGTCAGTTCGTAACATGTTACACCTTGAATATGGGTGTAACTTGTAATGAAAAGTGAACATATCCTTTAAGTGTCAGAGCAGGCAGAGAATGATAAAGCAATGATATGCCCAATATATTTCTCTGAACAACAAGTGGTACTCACAATACATACAGTAACTAGGTTGTATTGAGTCTTGTGCAGTGTTAAACAGTAACAGGAACAGTCCACTCCATTACAGTAAATTCCCACAATTGTTGTTAGAAGGAAAACCATTGCACAAACTGTAAAGGTACCCTTGAGCAGTTATGAAGCAAAATGAATGTGTACAAGGAGTCAGTAAAAACGCTCAGTCACTCAAAGCACATATATGTATCAGGACAGTAAAACCGAACCTCATCAGTTTCACTGTTCGTGAAATACCTAGCACTGCACTGGTATACAGTATAGGGAAAAAGCACAGATTCTTAGTGAGGCTTTGCACATTAAGGTTGCATTGCAATGGATTCCCTTTAACCTCCAGACTTTCCATACTGGGAACGTTGACTAGTATTTATTATTATTATACAGTATTTATATAGCGCCAATAGTTTGCTAATCGCTGTACATTATAATGGGAGACAATACACGAGACAGTACAGTAACAATACAATACACGAGGGGTTCTAGGGCCCTGCTCCTTGGAGCTTACAATCTAGGAGGGAGGGGAGAGTGGTACAGGAGTAGTAGAAAAGAATATATGATTCAATTCCAGTAATTATGCCTAGGCACCATTTTCAGAAACAGATAACTTGACAACAAAGATCAACAGAGTGCATAGTTCAAAATGTATGTCTAAAGAGAAATGTTCATACATTTAAATAAAACGTGGAAATGAAGCACATTTACCTTATCTTTAATTTTCCTCCAGGGAAGCTGACCAACCACAAACTCAACCAGCATGTAGAAAAGGGACCAAAGATCGTCATGTCGACCCATCTCCTACAGAATAAATAGAGCCATTTGCTTTTGGAAACAAATTCAAGCATTTTTACAATAATTGCTATAATTCTGAAAAGAAAAAAAAAAAAATCAAACATCTGTACAATGCAACATGAAACCTGAACTAAATATCGTTTTTGTTTTGTCCAGAAACTGCCAAATATATACTTTTTCAAACTTACTGCATTGTGTTTCAGGAGTCTAAACAAATGATTGAATGCCACATGGCAAGTAAAAAGTCCAATAATTTATCACGCAGGTCTACTTTGTATTTTTCCTTAAATTCAACATGCGTGGTCATGTATACCGCCTGCACTGAACAATGCGGGAAGGTGCAAAACTAAACCAGTACATGGAATGTGTCTGAAGCACAGGGTAAAGAAAAAAGGTTTTTTTTTTTAATTTCCCCACATACTCCTGGTATTTACTTCTTTTCTTCACATCCTCACTTTTCAGTTCAATGCAGCCAAAGACTATAAATGTTACTTTGATTACAAGAAGCATATCAGCCTTACCTGGGCCAATCAGCCTCATTACATGGGGATTTCATAGTCTTGTGAAAGCTACAACTCATACATTACACAGGCAGGTAAATAGAGCAGCAGGGGAGTAAAAGGAATGCAAGCACTAATGCTGATGGAGAGGGCTTGGTGCACATTTGTGCATTGCCAGAATGCACACAAATCAAGGAGCGTTTCCGCAACACAAAAAGTGTGCATTCCTCTTGCAGGCTCGTGGTGGTGCCATTTATTCTCAAAGGCACCCCACGCTAATGTGTGCATCAAAACACATGGTATCTATGTATATAAAAAAATACATTAAAAAAAAAAAAAAAAAAAAAGTCCATTTAAATAGATGGGCTGCCCTAAGCACAATGCATGAAATCATGCAAATTTGCACTTGTACTGTCACACCTGCATAGGTGTGCACAGAGCCTTAAAGCGGATCACCCAAAAGGGGAAGTTCTGCTTGTTTACATCCTCCCCCCTCCACTGGCACAATTGGCACTTTTTTGGGGGGGAGCGAATACCTGATTTGACAAGTACCAGCTCCCACTTGCCACAGTGATGTTTGACCCCTCCTCCTTGCCCCCGCAGCCTTCTGGGACACATCACAGGTCTCAAAAGACTGCAGGACCATTCACAAAGCACAGCGTGGCTCAAGCATGCGCAGTAGGAAACCGGCTGTGATGCAGAAGGCTGCACTTTCGGTTTTCCTTACCCAAAATGACAGCACCTGAAGTTGATGGAAGAATCAGCATGGGTGAGGACATCTCTGGATCCCTGGACAGGTAAGTGTCCTCATAGTAAAAGTCAGCAGCTACAGTATTTGTAGCTGCTGACTCTTTTTTTTTTTGGAGGAGACTGGAGTTCCCCTTTAAGTTAACAAGCATGTTCAAACCAAAGGCTCAGTTTTCCTTCCTAAGCATGGTTGCCTTTTCTGTTCTGCTAATCAGGATTCCTGGATGACAAATTTCAAAGGCTTTCAGTCTTTATTTGGTTCTCAAGCACAGAGGACACTAATCCTACCAAACAAAAACAATATACTAATACATTAACATAGAAGAAATATCCCTTACTGAAAAAATATTCACTAATGCAGGCCATAGATGGGTCGAAAATCGGCCGATTTTTCGGCCGAAAATAAAATCGGCCGATTTTCGGATCGTTAGTGGGCTAATTGTTCGGCCGTATTTCGGTATTTTGGCAGATTTTTTTTATCGGTAAAGTTGGAAAAAAAATCGGCCGATTTTCGCAGCAATGATGGGCAAATCGGCCAATTTGTTTTACCGATAAAAAAATCTGTGCATGAGCAGTGACCTGCAAGAGGAAGACAAAAAGAAGAAGAAAAAAAGAAGAGGATGAAGAAGAAGAAGAAGAGGATGAAGAAGAAGAAGAAGAGGATGAAGAAGAAGAAGAGGATGAAGAAGAAGAAGAGGATGAAGATGAAGAAGAAGAAGAGGATGAAGAAGAAGAAGAGGATGAAGAAGAAGAAGAGGGTGAAGAAGAAGAGGATGATGAAGAAGAGGATGAAGAAGTAGAAGAGGAAGAAGAGGATGACGAAGAAGAGGATGACGAAGAAGAGGATGATGAAGATGAAGAAGAAGAAGAAGAGGATGAAGAAGAAGAGGATGAAGAGGATGAAGAAGAAGAGGATGAAGAGGATGAAGAAGAAGAGGAAGAGGATGAAGAAGAGGAAGAGGATGAAGAAGAGGAAGAGGATGAAGAAGAGGAAGAGGATGAAGAAGAGGAAGAGGATGAAGAAGAAGAGGAAGAGGATGAAGAAGAAGAGGAAGAGGATGAAGAAGAAGAGGAAGAGGATGAAGAAGAGGAGGAAGAGGATGAAGAAGAGGAGGAAGAGGATGAAGAAGAGGAGGAAGAGGATGAAGAAGAAGAGGAAGAGGATGAAGAAGAAGAAGAGGATGAAGAAGAAGAGGAATTCCAGTCCAGGAAAAAATGTCCCTGCAGAGAGCTCCGCTATTTCTTTGACAGTTCCTTGACATTTATAGCGGTTGCAACAATGTATCTATTTGTTTCCGAATAAAAACATCTGTATCCTAAATGGATACAAATGCATTGTTGCAACCGCTATAAATGTCAAGGAACTGTCAAAGAAATAGCGGAGCTCTCTGCAGGGACACTTTTTGCCGGCTGTAGACGGGATGAAAATCGGCCGATTTTTTTTACCGTTTCTGGTAACGTTGGCCGCTTGAACGACCGATTTTTCGGGTTTTTTTAAGAAAAATCGGCCGATTTTCGACCCATCTATGGCCTGCATTAGTCTCTGTCCCTTTTCATTTAGCCACTACTGAAAGTGGACTACATACAATCCTACGCCTGTTTAAGCTGGTTACCCAACCTTATCAGTGGATGGCCTAATGTGATCTGTAGTTACTGTACCTACTCTCTTCATGCTGTATTTTAAGTTCACAAGTATTTCTAGAAATGTGTTAACTATTTATTGCATGACATTATTATAGCAAGCTGCTATTGCAATTGTTTTTTCATGAAAAATCAGTATGAAATTAATTGAAACCACTTACCCGGTTCCTGTGTGCATTGACAGAAGCATACCTAACTGTTCCACGAAACCCAGCTACAGTCCGAGGCTACAGGAGAAAACCATTTATTGTCAAAAAAAATAAATAAATAAATAGATACATAACATTAAGTACCAACATTAAGAGAAGAACTATTCTAATGTCCAAGTGCCTGAGGCAAGCATTACTAAAAGGGAAAAAAAAACATCAGCAACATTAACGCAGATTTTACTGACCACAGACAATGTAAATAAGTATACATGTAATACTCAATTTTCCACTTTCTCCCACATGAATCTCCCGTGTTTATAGGAGTGACAAACATATGGGTTTCTGGGTGCTTTGCTTATGTTTTATAGGGTTATTTCACCCACCTTTACCAAAAAAACGTCCTATGCAGGTAAGGTATCACAGGATTAAGCTCTCAAACCCCCCATGTGTTGTCTGCCAACTGCTCTGTTGCAGCTTCGCTGAGCTCAGAAAAAGTGACAGGGAAGAAAAGTGCATGCAAGGGGCTTTGAATCAGCAGGGAGCGTCTTTGCAACAAGGCAGTATGGACAATGCCATATCTGGAAGTTCTTCAGTCAGGCTTTGGGAGGCATTTAAATTGCCTTCACCCATAGCAAAGGGCATTATTTAGCTTTGGTCAAAGCTGCACAGTATGGAAGTCTGGAGGGGCATGAGCGCACTGTCCAGCCCCGCTGTCAGCAGCCTGTCAAACTAGTCTGATAGTTGCTGTGGCTGGACAGTGCACTCAGCAGTACTTCTATTTAGAACAGCATGTGGCCAAGGATGAATGTCTGGTACACAGACTTCTTGCTTTCAGAGCATTTGTTCCTGAACGCATACCACCCTAAATGTACATACCTCTAGGTGCATCGCCCAGCCTCATACAGCCACAGCAGCTGCCAGACACTCAAAGAATTTGACAGGCTGCTGACAGTGGGGCTGGAAGGTACACCTATACCCTCCAGCCACAGCTAAACACCAAAGCCTCAATGCCCATGAGGCCTAAATTGTGTCCAGCAAAAGAAAGGTCTTCACACCACCCACATCATCCCAATCTAGATCCTCCAAGTTCAAAGGGCACTTTCTGTTGAGGTCTTTGTAAAATCTATTTCTTGGGAGTACAGGAGAACAATAATACACTCAGTTATTAAGCATGGGGTGATATCTGTATCTGCCTGCTACATTAGTCATAATTAAATACATTTTGAAAAAAATGTGATAAAAGAAAAATATGATTACTGCTGTATGAATGCAATTTTTAGGGCACTTCCAAAAGAAAACGGTTTGTGCTGGCACAACATAAGCATCAATTTAGTCTGTTTGCCAATATGATGGGTATATATTACATGCCATGTTCAATTCTGACTGGTATTCGGTTACTAAAGAAACCTTAATCTAGTATGTGTAAGAAATAACCCCATGAAAAGTAGAGCATCCCCCTTGTACTACTCAACGCTCCCCCTCTTCTTCTGATTAGCTTCAGCAGTTCAAAGATTGGTTTTTAGTGGCTTCCCGGAGTTCCTCTTTTAGCTAGGTTCACACTGTTGCAGGTGGAAGGCAGTGTGCAAATTGCATGCATTCCCACACCCACAACATGCTGTTCCTTTGCAGACACACAAGGGTACCATTAATTCGTAATAGCACGCCCACACATCAAAAAATGAAGTGCGTTTTTGGGTGCATGATACTGCATGCTGAAAAAGTACCACATGGTTTTTGTGCGGCTGCAATTTTGAAAAAGGTACAGGGACCATTCCCTGCGTGTTCCTGAAGGTATAGCAGCCAATTCAAATTCATGGGCTGCTGTACCTGAGCAAACGCAGCACACAGAAAATGGAAGTTTGAACAGGCAAGTGTTCCTTAATGTTGGTAAAGTGCAATACTTTCAATGTGCAGGATGTGAAAGTGCGAACAATCCCAAAAAGGGGGAATCCACCAGCTTGGATGGATGTACACTCATAAGAAGGTATATGGTATCAAGCATGTATAAGATATGTCACATCTGGAGGTGAAAAACGGCAGCCAGGGGGTTAATCAAACTGCTCCATCCCAGGTTATGGTGGAAGAAGGGACCTTTGTCCTATGGAAAGTAGCTCGAAGCCAAGAACCAGAAATTTGTATATAGTGTAGTATTTTATTGAAATCTTTCCAGTATAAAATAAACATCCACGTGGAGTAAAATAAGCAAATAATAAATACGAAAATGGCCGCCGCTCCGACCTTCGGTAGTGGCGGCGTGACGTCAGCAATGTAGGCTCCCCCCGACGCGTTTCGTGCACATGCACGTCCTCAGGGGTATGCCCATTGCTGGCTGCTGTTTTTCACCTCCATATGTGACATATCATCATATACATGCTTGATACCATATACTTTCTGGTGAGTGTACATCCATCCAAGGTGGTGGATTCCCCCTTTTTGGGATTGTTCACACTTTCACATCCTGCACGTTGAAAGTATTGCACTTTACCAACATTAAGGACACTATACGAATGGATTTGTTGAATGTAATAGTAAATTAAGAAGTTATAACCATGATCATTGTTATTAATTTTTGCACTTTAGTGCACGGATTGTCACACTCATTCACGGACTTTTATTTTGCTGTATTTATACTTACGTTAAGTTATATATACATTTATGCTGCACTAGACTGTTCCACCTAATTTATTGATTCATTTTAGCACTGCACTTCTTTTATGCTTATACTTATTGGGATTGTGACCTATGCCATAATTGCTAGCTGCTTTTTATTTATTTCACTAGCGCTCGCCTGCATACTTTTTTATATTAAATAAAACAATTTTCAAATGTATTACATACCTTGTGTTAGACCCTGTGACATCACTGGGTCTTTGTGCTTCTCTATGCAATGTAGGCAGATTCTGGCTGGTAAGGGGGGCTATCATGGTGCTGTGCATAGCTTCTTCACAGTAGGGCTTGGTTCACATCTGTGCGGGTGGTGCTGCTTCAGGACCCGCGCAAATACCTGCAGCTACACCACCCACACAGAGGAATGCGGGGCCCATGGGAGGGTGCCATTAATTCCAATGGCACACCGCCCTACTGGAAATCGCAACCGTACTGGGAATCTCGTTTCCTGTGCGGGCTGCGATTTCCAAAGAAGTGCAGGGACTTCTTCCCTTCGTGTCCCGAGGCACAAGAGTCCATTCAAATGAATGGGCTCTCATGCCCTTGCAAATCGCAGCCTGCATGGCCTCATATATGTGAACCTGGCCAAAGAGCCGTTAAAATGTGCAATAGACTTCAGTCAACAACTAGTTCTGGCCTGCCCATTAGATTGTTTTAAACAAGAGCTGGATGTATTTCTGTAGGAACAAAATATAACTAGATACCAACAGTTCTAGGTAACACCAGGGATGTTGATCTAGGGAATATACAATGGCCTTCTGGGAAATCAGGTAGGGATTTATTTTATGCCCCACTGGCGGGAGGGTTTTTTGCCTTCTTCTACAACAGCTGTGCATATAAGAGTCTGTATATAAGGGTTTTATTATTTAATTTTTTTCTCTATTGGTTGAACTAGATGGATCTGTGTCTTTTTTCAGCTCAACTATATAATTAAATATATTTTGAACTCTGGCCAGTGCAAGGTACATGCCCCTCGCCCCGTTGTAATACGATCCATGCATAAGGATCAATGTATAGAAGGATGTGTGTTTTGCTTCTGACGTGCAGTTGTAAAGAATTTTGTATGGATTTGGAATACAGAGTTTAATTTGGGCTGGTTCACAGCATGAATGGCACAGGAGTATGTTGTGTGTTCCTGTGTAATTTACATGCGATCTGGGTGCAGTGTGATTTTGCCCATTCATCTGAAATCATACTAAAATCGTGTCTGACCGCATTAAAAAGTAGTGCATGCTGTAAAAAAAAAGCAAGGAAACTGGATCACATGGTAATACTGTACTGCACTGCACTTGGGATGTTGTTAGGTTAACACTGACACGCACTGCAGACTAAGGCTACGTTCACACTAGCGTTGTGTGCAGGCGGCAGAGAGGCGTTTGGGAAGCGTTTTTACCGCTTCCCAAACGCCTCTGCCAATTCTGCATATTACAGCACATGGTGCTGTTCTAACGGGAGCGTTTGCGTCGCGTCGCAGCAAAACGAACGCCTCTGGTAGAGTCAGGAGGCTTTGAAGCCTTCTATTCTCGTCTATGGCCCGGCCGGCGTTTGCGAAGCGGTTGCGGGGAGTTTGCGGAGTGGTAACACCACTCAAACCGCATTATAGGCGTTTGTTATTAACGCTCGGCAAACGCCTAGCAACGGCCGCTAAACCGCGCATGCGGCGTTTGCGGAGCGTTTGCCGAGCGTTAAAAACCGCTCCGCAAACGCCGGACCAACGCTTGCCAAACGCTATAGGGGCGTTTGGCAAGCGTTGGTAAAACAGCCAAGTGTGAACGAGCCCTAAGTGTAGTGCATTGTGAACATGGTGTGGGAAACACGAGTTTCCCGCACCACATTCTAGTGTGAACTGGCCCTAAGCCCTAGTTCACATATGTGCGTTCCTGTGGGCCGCGTTTTGTGTGGGCACAAGAGCCCATTCATTTGCCCCGGGACACGCAGGGAAGAAGTCCCTGCACTTCTTTGGAAACCGCAGCCCACACGGGAACCTCGGTTCCCAGTGTGGTTGCGATTTCCAGTGCGGGCGGCATGCCATTAGAATTAATGTCACCTGTCCGCATTCTTCTGTGTGGGTGGTGCGGCTGCACGGATTTTTGTGCGAATTCGCAGCAGCACCACCCGCACATATGTGAACCGAGCCTTAGTGGTGGCAGATAGCATGGAAACAATGTTTCCAGGTGATTATCTTAAAGGTCTAAAGACTTGGCAAGTTAAATATTGTCTTACTATAATAATTAGCACTGACATTTTTTATTTCTTTTTTAGCAACCCCATGGGCCCTGCGCAGTTGTCTGTTCTGCCCATATTATTGGAAAAACTCAGCCGGTCTTTTTAAATAACTAGCAAACTTTGTCATCTATTGTCCATGTTACTAAGTGCTTGAAGCTATCAGTTCCCAGGTAATACAGGACATT